TATATTTACTAATCATAAGTTTGTCCAAAGATTCTCCACAGATGTTCCTGCAAGTCGAGTACCTGTTTGCAGTCGTCTTGTTCTCGGCGGCAAAGACAACTGAAGGAGCCGAAAATGGCGTTTTCTTTCAAATCAAAGAAAACACTTTTTTCAGCTACAGAGAAGAAAACCTCTTTTGGTCTGGAAAAACTGATTCTTTGCTTTCCTGTTCGGTTTTGTGTGCGAGACAAGCTTCGTGCGGAAGTGCAAACTTTCTGGAACACACAGGACTTTGTTACCTTCTTGGCGGCGAAATGCAAACAAGTTCAGCCACTGGGCGACTTTTACAGCGAGATGGCTCTTTCTATCTAACAAAGGTATTTGGCATTGATGACATACCATGTTTTTTGGTGACACCTTCCGATAATGTACACCTTATCACGAACAAGTTTAAGGGCCTTCCGCACAAGTAGACAAAACTAGAATTGCCCGGTTAAAATGAAAGGACAAATTTTTGTTTCGTCTGTTGCATCCGCATTAAAAATATAAAAGCCGTCAAATTCCGTCAACGCCCGATCTATTCATAAGACCAGCCAGCATAGTTTGCTAAGGATTTCACCTCCAATCCGAACTTGTAAAATGTTTATGATGATTGAAAATTTGTGAAAATAAACAACGTTTTTTAAAGCGATAAAGATAACTGCTACGATCATTTCACGAAACAAAAACTCCGCAAACGTTTTGATTAAGCTTTTGAGATCTACGTAAGAGACTTGATCGGGCGTTTAAAGTAATTTGCGCTTTAGCAGGAAAAAAGCTGAAACATGAGAGGACATTTGTGGAGGAACGTGAATGAATTGAGATGAGACCTTATAGGAAAGGTTAAGACGACAAGACCCACAGAAGCTTGTCTTACCATCAAGACCATAATTTAAAACTTTATGAAACGTTCAATTATAAGCAGAAGCCACCAACAACTGAAATAAGACCACAGTCGCCCGGTGATTCTTCAACAATTTCGTACATATGCGCATAACACGAGGTGCGGATACTAACTATAAATTTCTTGTTTAACTCCAATTCAGATCAACCTTCCAGAAAGAACCGATTTACCTCAAGGTGAGAATTATGAATTCAGTATTATTAAGATCAGTAACCCGAGCGCTAATGTAAATTACCAGCCATAGCTATTGGATAAATCTAGATGCATCAAGACAAACTTCAACTTTTATAATTTTCAATTTCTTTATTTCTACCACGTTTTGGTGTCTTCCATCTTCTACCTCTCTTCCATTATCCTTCCTGGCCTATTGCTACCAATTTTAATTTTTTTTTGCATTGAATACTTTTTCCTTAATTTCGATTGTCATTAAAATAAAACACCAAAAAATCGGGACATTTATACAGCTACGTAGAATGGTTTCGAATGTCTTAGTGGTTGTACGTTCACCAATAAAATCATTTATTTACAAGGTTGATAGTGAGGAAATGATTGAGTCTGAATCCTAATTGTCTGAGACAGCTCAACGGAATTGTAAAAAAAAAGGAAAGATAAATCCAAGTTAGAACGCATGTCAGGAAACGTTGGGCCGGTGTTTAAGTTTAGATCCTTTTAAATTGCTCAGTAACATAAAATTGGTTCAGTCTTGTTTGATGCTCGTAACTACATTTAGGTCGCCAGCTCTATTTTCCCTTACAGGGCTTTAGTACACATAGAGGATACTTCAGTAGACTCACTTTCATTTTCTACTTTATGACTATAGAGCAAAACACTTCTCCACCCCCTGTTTCTAACCACCACTCAGCAGTAACCTCATGCCAGACTCTCCTCAAACAGTCTCCCGCTACGTCCACGGGTGTTTATTGGATCGATCCTGATGGTGGCTCCCAGGCCAACGCTTTCAAAGCTTACTGTGACATGGATACAAATGCAGGGGGCTGGACATTAGTATGGAGCTATTCTTTTACTAACTACACTCATTTTAACGATGATTCAAATGCAATCACTCCGAGGCCAAATTGGCCGGCCAAAAATGAAGTGAATGTTCCTATCTCTACAATTTCTCCATTAAATGAAACAGACTACAACGCCATGAACTTCTCACTCTGGAAAAAACTCGGTAGACAGTTCCTCATCAAGAGCAACATAAACAACTGGCTGTTGTGTCAACCGATAACTGGCAGCCTGGTTGATTGGCAGAAAGGTGACGTCAACTGTACTATCACAAAATACGTGGCTGACCCTGGAGAATCAGCTTCGGCGCCTTCCAAGTTTTCACCATATATCGACCATGGACCAATGTTCCATTCGAGTGGGCGCTGGGAGAGCAACTTTTATTATTTTAATGGTTACACGGGCAAATATTGGCCTACCCATGATCCTTGCGGAAGAAATGGGCCCAACCAAAAGAAAAATGTTCTTGATCCACACGGTAACATTTTTATTCGAGCCGAGTAGCAAAGACAGACAATGACAAACCTTTACACACGTATCTTCTAGAGTTGGTTAACTTATCTGCATAAAATCATTACATTACCTTGAAAACGTGTGACGAGAATCATCTGTAGGACCTTGAAGGCATGAAACTGCTAAAACTCTAAATTCTTCTATCGCAATTACTGAGAAAACCCCATTAGAGAGAGAATTTCGGATCAGATCTTGGAGGCTGAAGGTTCAAGCTTGTTTCACTCTCGTAAGATGACAACAGGCAAAGCACCAGTTACACTCATCATGAGAGATTGGGGGATTATCTTTCAGAATTTTACTTTCCAACGGAATTTTAGAGAATTCAAATCACTTCGCGAAACTTTGACTTGATTAGGTGCTAGCTTCTTCTTTGTTGTTGTACGACAAAATTTAAGCTCTCAGTGTTTTTAATAATGACTTTTACCGCTGATGTTTACAAAACTCGTGCCAACCACTAAACCAGATAGTTGCAATCAGCTAGAGCAATTCTTAGAATAAAATGAGTAAATAAGATTCACTTAAGGAAGCCTGGATCGATGACCACATTAAATAATTGTCGCCACGGGTTTTTTTTTCTTGGGGGTTGGGTAATGAGCATTAATTAATAGTAAAAACATATAACGGAGTTTGAAAATGGTGTGCTGCGTGGAAACTGAGTTTTCCTTTTTACGCTTACTACCTTCGAAATTCTAATAAAAACAACTTTTACTTCATGTTAAGACCATAGTGTTTGCTATTACTTATTCTGCATTTATAAACCGTAATTGATATATTTCAGGAGCTTTCCAAAACCACTCTGAGGTTTTTTGGCAATTGAGTACAGCCACCTGACCAAATAAATTCTCGTTAGATTTCTGGATATCATTGTCGCCGCAGTTTTTTTTTTATTTACATAGAAAGGCCAGGAGTAAAGGGGTTGAGTAATGAGCATTAAGTAATAGTAAAAACATGTAACGGAGTTTCAAAATGGTGTACTGCGTGGAAACTTAGTTTGCCTTTTAGGCTAACTACCTTCGAAATGCTAATAAAAACAACTTGTATTACATGTTAGGACCATAGTGTTTGCTATTACTTATTCTGCATTAATAAACCGTAATTGATATATTTCAGAAGCTTTCCAAAACCACTTTGAGTTTTTTTGGCAATTGAGTACAGCCACCTGATCAAATCAATTCTCGTTAGATTTCAGGATATTATTACAGGTGTTTTTGCCTTTTATGATTGTTTTCTTCGACTCATTCGATAAAAAAGGCAAATTAAAGCTGATCTTTATTTCAAGGTTTTGAACCACGCGTTCTGAACTTCTGAACACTCAGTCTTATTTCCAAAAACTCATACACCCATACTTTCTCCGATCCCCGAGAGAATGATAAGTAATGACAAATAAAACAGAGCATAAAATCCTTTTAGGTTGTACTCGAATGCATTACGTTTATTTTTGTTTGACAAACAAAACTCGATAAAATTACGAGGAGTAAAGATCTGCTCCCATTGTTACTTCCCATCGATGATGGCTTTCATATTTGTAAGTGACTTCTCCTCAGAGTCGTGTAATGTATTAAGCAATAATCCAACAGGGTCCTCCTAATTTGATTGTTCTTTGGTATTCTATCATATCATTTTAATTTCCTTTCTTGCAGATCTTTGCTTGGGATATATATGCTCTCATATGGGCTTTTTCGGTAACACCAAAGATATCTGCAGAAGAAGATCAGGGCATGTTCTTTCGCATAGAAGAAAATGCTTTTCTTAACAATGAAAATGCTCTTCTAAGTGAAAAGGCTGACTCTATATTGACCTGTGCTCAAATGTGTAGGAGAGAAGCTGCTTGTAAAGGAGCAAATTTCTTGGCAAACAAAGGCACCTGTTCGCTTTTTAACGAAGGACAACAGGCAAGGAAGATGGAGAGATTTGTAAAACGGAATGGTTCTTTCTATATTGAAAAGGTATATCGAGAATTTTCGAGATTTTTCCGTTACCATTTTGTGTTACAATTTCTTTTTTTATTCAGTGCGATCACAAATGGATGAAACTTTCTTTTGAGAGCCAGATATTTTGGGCAAAGCTGTGCGGTTGTTGTTGTTGTTTTTTTTCATTTTATTGTTTTCTTTCACATGTTTATGTTTCAATGTAGTTTTCATAATCCTTTTCTAAAGGCTCGACTGGAAATTCTATGTTCTAATGTCGGAAATACCATATAGCCGGAAAACCTGATCAGTAAAAGATAGATGTCGCCATGTTCTCTCGTACCCGTTTTGCAAATGTTTATTATTCATTCTCATTAATTTACTTTGAAGTTTTGAAAAAGAAAATTGCACCTGTTGCTTTTATCTGTATGTACCCTTTCAGGCAGTTTAAAGAAAATACTAATTTAAATGACCCGTGATGAAATTCCACAGCAAGCTAGAATTTTCATAGAAACTTATTAGAGAAAAAAAACCCAGAGCAAGAAAAAGTGACAAAAAATTGAACTTCATTGTGTGCGAGAAAAGCTTCTTGCAGAAGTGCAAACGTTCTGTAAAACCCAGGACTTTGTTACCTTCTTCGCGGCGAAATGCAAACAAGTTCAACAACTGGGCGGCTTTTCCAGCGAGATGGCTCTTTCTATCTAACACAGGTATTTATTTATTTATTTTTTTTATTTATTACAATTTAATGGCACATATAACTTACTACTTACTTACATACTTACATTAATAGATAATAATACAAAAGAGTAAAAGGAAAGGTGCCATAAGGATGGTCCGCAAAAGAGATAAATCCCCATGCACGGCAGACCACCTTTAACAAAAAAAAAACAAATCCAAACTAAAATCAATCAAATCTTGCAGTCAAGTAATCCCTTACACCCCTTTTAAAACAAGAAACACTTGGAGCCTGACGGACCGATAGTGGCAGCCCATTCCACATGTGGACAATCCTATTAAAATAGCAAAACTTAAAAGTATTAGTCCTCGCGTAGTTCTTTTTTAATTTAAGTTCGTCCTTACCCCTCAACGAGTATCTTTCCGAATGCGAATAAAATTGGATATAAGAGGATATATCTATATTAATATACCCATTAAGAACTCTATAAAAAAATAGTACATCAAAAAAGAAGCGTCTGTCCTCTAGAGATAACAGGTTCAGTTGTTCTTTACGAGTGTTGTAATCATCATCAGTTTTTAGAATAAACTTGGTGGCTCTTCGCTGAATCCTTTCCAATCTGTTAATGTTTCTAGCCGTGAAGGGTGACCAGACAATAGTACAGTATTCCAATTGGGACCTTACCAAAGCACAGTACAACCTTCTTAACGTGTTAACATCTTTCATACCCTTGCATGTCCTTTTAATAAGGCCAAGAATCTTGTTAGCCTTGCTTGATATCTTATCAACATGAGCATTCCAGGACAACTTGTTACTAGTAACTAATCCAAGATCACAGAATTCAGATGTTTCTTCCAGAGAGCTCTCATTCAGCTTAAGGTCAGAACGAAAAGGCATACTTTTTTTCGTGATACGCATCAGTTTGCATTTCTTTACATTAAAATCCATTAGATTTCGCTGACTCCAGATGTGTAGATTATTCAGGTCAGATTGAAAATCATGTTGGTCTGATGTACAGTTTATCAGTCTTGATGTTTTACAATCATCTGCGTACAGTGCGATTGTGTTTCCAGGCATAACCACATTAGGCAAATCACTAATGAATATTACAAAAAATAATGGCCCTAGTAGGGAGCCCTGTGGTACACCGGATGGGATGACAGACCAGGCAGAACTCTGTCCCTCAATAACAACCCTTTGCTCTCTGTGGGTCAAATAATCCTCGCACCATCTTAGTAGGCTACCAGAGATGCCGAAATTACACAACTTCAGAAGGAGTATATCGTGTGATACTCTGTCAAATGCCTTAGAAAAATCTAAGAACACAACATCCACCTGTAGTCCATCATCCAAGGCCTTTGTCCACTGATGGTGTGTTAATACCAACTGGGTAGCACACGAGCGACCCCTTATGAAACCATGTTGCCAATCTGTCAGGTAAGGGGCCACATGAGGATATATGGCATTATATACAATCTTCTCTTGGCATTTACTTGGAATCGATAACAGGGATATAGATCGATAATTCTCTACCACATCTTTAGCATCTGATTTAAACACAGGAGTGACATTAGCTCTTTTCCATGAAGAAGGAACTCTCCCACACCTGAACGACAAGTTAAACAGTAGAACCAATGGGTAAGATAGCTCCTCTGCACAGTCCCTCAATATCCTCGCAGGAATGCCGTCTACTCCAGTTGCTTTATTAATGTCTAAGTTGCAGAGGATATTCTTTACTTCACTGTACGAAGTGAATATATCCATCAATAAGTTAGGGTTGATCACATCAACATGAGAGCTGTCAGAGTTTGATGTTTTTGTAGAGAACACGGAGCTGAAGAATTCATTGAACAGGGAAGCTTTTTCCACAGGATCTTTAGCAGACCTGGCTTTGCCAGAGTAAGTTATTACTTCTGGCAGTCTCTTGCTCTTGGATTTAAGAGAATGAAAAGACCAAAACTTCCTTGGATTAGTCTTCAGCTTATCCGATAGAGACTTTAAGTACTGGAAATACTTAAAGGAGATAAGACGTTTGGTCTGTTTCCTAAGAAATTTAAACTTTGTTGTCACCTCAAGAGAAGCATTGGCCCTTAAACGCTTCCACAAGACTTTCTTTTTCCTCACTAACTTTAAGACCTCTTTATCTATCCATGGAGGTCTTGGCTTGCGTCTAAGCTTCATCTTTGGTACATGTTGATTGACTGCCGCGAGAACAAGATCTTGGAAATTCGCCGTACCTGAGTCAATGTCCTCACAAGATATATAGGAATCCCATAAAATGTGAGAGAATGTATTTCTTAGACCATCAATGTCAGCTTTATCATATCGGTAAACTAATCTTTGACTGTTTTTGGGCCTGTTGAACTTTTTCTTGATCGCGAAACAGACTGGGAAATGGTCTGAATCAAATCCATTTGGGTGCACAGTAGTTCCTTCGATGAGTGATTCATGATTCGTCAACACAAGGTCTAAGATGTTACCAGATGTTGGCATTTTTGGTATTTGGCATTGATGACTTGCCATGTTTTTTGGTGACACCTTCCGATAATGTACACCTTATCACGAACAAGTTTAAGGGCCTTCCCGCACTGGCAGACAAAACTAGAATTATCCCGTTAAAATAAAAGGAAAAATTTTGTCACGACAAATTCTTGTTTCGTCTGTTGCATCCGCATTAAAAATTTGAAAGTCGTCAAATTCCGTCAGCGCCCGATATATTCATAAGGCCAGCCAGCATAGCTTGGCAAAGGATTTCACCTCCAATCCGCACTTACAAACTGTTTATGATGATAGAACATTTGTCAAAATAAACAACTTTTTCGCTAGTGCGGAATGGCCCTATTCTCTTTCCTAGCTGTAGAACGAGGGAGATTTTTTGTCAGCGATAAAGATAATTGCTACGATCATTTCATGAAACAAAAACTCCGCAAAATTTTTGATTCAGCTCATCAAATCTACGTAAGAGACTCGATCGGGTGTTTAAAGTAATTTGCGCTTAGAGGCCCATCTCCAACTTTGATGCAACGCGCGCCGCGCCCTAGTTTCCTGTAATACGAAATTCCCAGATCACTGAAAACCTTCTAAAATCGCCTTTCTCAAGAGCCATCCTGGACATATAGTCAACTGTTTTACGGTAAATACATTCGCTGTTCGTTATTTACAGTTTCTTTACAGTATTTTTAATTTTGTTCAGAAGATGTTTTTTAAGTGGCACGCTTGGATCTCTTCGTACTCTGTGAACAGAGTCGGCGAAAAGGAAAAACGTTTAAATTTTTTCACTTTCTGGAAGCGCCAGAGGATTCTAAATAAAGATAAAATATTTCCAAAAGAAATTGGTATTTTTCAAAGAAAAATATGGAAAAATATCAGACTGCCGGACGTTTAGTTATTCGAAAACCGTGTCCGGTAGTGTCCGGTGTAAATTTTCTTAGTGTCACGCTTGGATCTGTGTACAAGGTCAGCGAAACGGATAACGTTGGCATTTTTTCACCTTCTAGAAGCGCTTGAGGATTGTAAATGACGGTAGAATATTTTCCGAAGAAAAATTGGTATATTTCAAAAAGAAATGTGGAGTTATTTGAGGACCGAGTCCAGCCGTGTCATTGAAAAGTTTTGAAGTGTCGAGCGCTTGGATGGCTTCCTACTCTGTATAAATGGGTTAGCGAGGAACATCAAGTTCGAAATTTTAGGCTGCCTGGAAGCGCTTGACGATTGTAAATAAAAGTAGAACATTTTCCTATAAATATTTTTTGGATTTCGAAGAGAAATATGGAAAAATGTCGGACTGCCGGACGTTTGATTATTTTAAGTTTAGTCACTTCATTGCAGGAACGTCAGCGACACTGACAGTTTGCGTTACAATTCTTATTTGCTCTTTTGCGTGGAAAACAACCTCGACCACTCTTTCGAACGCAAGTTCCTCTCCACGAGCAGGAAACTTCAACTGACCCTTGGTCCTATTTAACAAGTATGGCAAACTTCAATTAAAAAAAAAAATTGATGAATGAATGAAAACGTGGTGGCGTTCAACATTTTCACCTTCTTCAGAATGCTCGCAAGGATTTTCGCGTTCCTCTTTAGCAACAACCGATCCATAAGCGTTTACTGCCTCGGAATCTACCAAATCAATGGATTCATCTGATTCCATACCGAATTAAAACGTATAGAACTGCTTTAAACAGAATTATTTTGATAAGTTCTTCAAATTCATCGGAGAAAACGCAGAAGGCATTTTGAGACGCGACAAGGTAAAAATTACTGACCAATCAGAGGCGCTATTTAAACAAAAGCGGTGGTTCAAAACAAAAACAAACGACTGCGTTGTATCAAGGTTGGAAATGAGCCTTTAGCATGAAAAAAGCTGAAACATGAGAGGGTATTTGTGGAGTGACGTGAATGGATTGAGATAAGACCTTATTAAAAAAATTAAGACGACACGACCCATAGAAACTCCTCTTAACATCAACATCATAATTCAAAAGCATATGAAACGTTCGTTTATAAGTAGAAGCCACTAACAAGTAAGACCACAGTCGCCCAAAGAGCCTTCAACAATTTCGTACACATGCGCATGACGCGAAGTACGGGTACTAACTGAATGTCTTGTTTAACTCCAATTCAGGTCGACCCGACTGGCTCACCCCAAGGTGAAAGTTACGCTTATGAAAATTATTACATATATGTAATGGATAAATATTGATGGACCAAGATAAACTTGAATTTTCAAGTTCTTCATTTCTACCACGTTTCGGTGTCATCCATCCTCTGCCCTCTCTTCTATTATCCTTCAAGGCCTATTGCTGCCAATTTTAGGTTTTCTGAATACTTTTACCTAATTTTCGGTTGTCATTAAAATAAGATACAAAGAAATTAGGAGTGTATATAGCCAAGTAGAATGGTTTCGAATGTCCTCGTGGTCGTACGTTCACCGATAAAATCATTTATTTACAAGGTTAATAGTGAAGAAATGATTGAGTTTGAAACCTAATTATCTAAGACAGCTCAACGGAATCATAAAAAAAGAGGGAAAAAAAATCCAAGTTAGAGCGCATGTCAGGAAACGTTGGCCCAGCGTTAAAGTTAATATCGTTTTAAATTGCTTAGTAACATAATACTGGTTCTTTGTTTGATGATCGTAACTAAATTTAGGTCGCCAGCTCCAATAGAGGATACTTTACTAGACTCGCTTTCAATGATGAAATTATTTTTCTAATCTTCAACTTTATGACTGTAGACCAAGACACTTCTTCAACCCCTGGTTCTAACCAGCACTCAGCAGTAACCTCGTGCCAGACTCTCCTCAAACAATCTCCCACTACGTCCACGGGTGTTTATTGGATCGATCCTGACGATGGATCCCGGGCCAACGCTTTCAAAGCTTACTGTGACATGGATACTGATGGAGGTGGCTGGACCCTTGTATGGAGCTATTCCTTCACTAACTACAGTCATTTTAAAGATGATTCAAATGCGGTCACTCCAATACCAAATTGGCTGGTTACGAAAAGGGTGAATGTTCCTGTCTCCACAACTCCTCCATTGAATGAAACAGACTACAACGCCATAAACTTCTCACTTTGGAAACAACTTGGCAGACAGGTCCTCATCAAGAGCAACATAAACAACTGGCTGGTGTGTCAGCCGGTAACTGGCAGCTTGGTTGATTGGCAGAATGGTGACGTCAACTGTAAAATCACCAAATACGTGGCTGACCGTAGTGAATCAGCTTCGGCGCCTTCCAAGTTTTTAACTAACACCGACTATGGACCAATGTTCTATTCGAGTAGGCGCTGGAACAGCACCTTTTACTATTTTAATAGTTACACGACCAAAAATTGGCCTACCCATGATCCTCTGGGAAGAAATAAGCCCAACCAAAAGAAAAATGTTCTTGATCCACATGGTAACATTTTTATTCGAGCCAAGTAGCAAGGACAGACAATGACAAACCTTTAAACACGTATCTCCCATAGCTGGTTAACTTATCTGAACAAAATCATTGCATTACCTTGAAAAAAAATGACGAGAATCATCTGGAGGACCTAGAGGGTCTTAAACTGATATAATGCTAAGTTATCCTATCGTATTTACTGAGAAAAACCCCACCAGAATTCGAAGGGAAAATTTAGGATCAGATTTTGGAGGCTGAAGGTTCAAGCTTGGTTCACTCTCATAAGATGAGAACAAGCAAAGCACCAGTTACACTCATCATGTGAAGTCGGGGGATTACCTTTCAGAATTTTGCTTTCCAATGGAGTTTTAAAGAAAAAAAATCACTTCGCAAACTTTGACTTAATGAGGCGCTAGTCACTATTCAAGCCGGACTTTGTAAAAAATTTTTTAAATTTGTTTTTGTATGTTTTTTTCTTCTTTGTTTTTGTACAACAAAACTTAAATTCTTGATGTTTTTAATAATGGCTACTTTTACCAATACTGTTTACAAAACTCGTGGCAGCCACTAAATTAAATAGTTGCAATCAGCTAGAGAAATTTTTAGAATGAAATGAATAAATAAGATTCACTTAAGGAAGCCTGGAACAATCACCACATTACATAATTGACGTCACAGTTTTTTTTTAATGTTTTAATGTTTGGAAATGCGCAAAATTAGGGGTTTAATAACGAGCATTACTTAATAGTAAAAACATATTTTCCCAATAACAAAGTTTCAAAACGGTATAAAGCTAGGTTATAAAGGGTGCATACCTTTCCAAGACACTTCAATTTCTTCTCTATTATATGTTGAAACTTAGTTTGCCTTTTAGGCTAACTACCTTCGAAATGCTAATAAAAACAACTTGCATTTCATGTTAAGACCATAGTGTTTGCTATTACTTATTCTGCATTTATAAACCGTAATTGATATATTTCAGGAGCTTTCCAAAACCACTTTGAGGTTTTTTGGCAATTGAGTACTCCTACTTTGCTTGTTCTTCGGTATGCTATATCATCTTAGTTTTCTTTCTTGCAGATCTTTCCTTGAGACATATTTGCTCTCATATGGGCTTTTTCGGTTTCACCCAAAGATATCTGCGGAAGAAGATCGGGGCATGTTCTTTTACATATAAGAAAACGTTTTTCTTGATGATGAAAATGCTCTTCAAAATGAAAAGGCTGACTCTATATTGACCTGTGTTCAAATGTGTAGGAGAGAAGCTACTTGTAAAGAAGCAAATTTTTTGGCAAACAAAACCACCCATTCGCTTTTTGACGAAGGAAAACAGGCAAGGACAGGTGGAAAGATTTGTAAAACAGGATGGTCCTTTCTATATAGAAAAGGTATTCCTAGAATTTTGTAGATCTTACAGATTAATATAAGTTGTGTTACCATTTCTTTCTTTACTCCGTGGGATTACAAAGGAGTGGAGTGAGGGCCGGATGTTTTGGGCAGTTTTATGCAATGGCAATTTTTTATACACCTTGTTCATGTTTCAATTTAATTTTCATTGTCCTTTCCATTAAGTAGGAAATAAAATTTTTCTTATGTCTGTAATGTCACACAGCCGCTGTAACCTGATCAATTAAAGATCACTAAAAGATGGGAGTCGGCATGCTTTATCGAGTCCGTTTTGTAATTATGTTTATCACATAAGCCGCGGTATTATAATGGATTTCCGGCTTTGAGAAAAGCCGTAACAACACAGATGAAAAAAAATCATTTTTTTTTTTACGTGTGTTGATATAGCCAATCAGCTGCTTAATGTCACTCGACTTTGGCGCCACTCGGTCAGGTTGATGAATGAACGGCAAAGCCTTCACGATTCTCATTACAAGGTGTTTGTAGGAGCTTTCTCGAATTATGGCGGCTAAGACACTAAAAAATCCGTATCGCTGAAAGACAATGATGTTCAAACTTTCCTAGGAGGGGAAGAAAACCAATATAGTAAAAGAAAAACCGAAAGTTGCATATTCAAAGGCTTTGGTGTTAGCATTTCTGAATGAAAATCGACAACTGGAAGATTTGCCACTGGCCGATTTTGGCCGTTTACTTGAAAGACTTCTTCTGTCGGTAAGGACAAAGTCACTAAATGAGAATTTTGTAAGTTGAAAATTACGACCATTGTCGTTTTTGTAATAATGATTCAACGCCCTTTTCCATCTTAAGAGTCAGCGCCAACGCGCTCTACTATTGTTATTCGAATATTGTCGATTCATTTATTTTCATTCATTGATGAAGTCGGCTTGTCTTCTCATTAAAGGGCTATTGTGTTTAAATGAGAAACAGAATAATACATGGTTGCTTCCTGGGAACATTTTTATTCGTTAGTTGACGAACATTAATTGTTCACCGATGTGTAGCCTTTCCCGTCAGTGGTGAACGAGATCTTTGAATAAACTCACGAAATATTTTGCACTTTCTTATAGCGGAGCTCGCAGAGCGTAGCCCCATAATTATACAAAATAGTAGTAACCCATCAAGCCGAAAAAATTTGGATGTACGACCTTACGACTGTACGACCGTACGAGGTGCTACTTTTAACATGCGTGGTCAACTGTACCGCGGGCACGCACTAGGCTCCGAGTCGGCCGACCCGGGTTCTAGTCATGGCCGGAGCAAGGCGTTGTGCCCTTGAGACGTGCGGGAAAAAAATGCGAGCTCCACTTTTAGGCTTGGCTAAATCTATATGTTATTCAAATAACTTTTTAACGAAGTTCAGATTCTCTTGGCATGCGACTTAATTGCCGTTAGATCTCCCCTGCAACGCTTCTCACTGAAAGTTACTCTTTTTAAGATCAATAAACCTGCTGCTATTCGTATGGAAAAACACTTTTTCGAACCGGATATAATGCCATCTTATCTTCTCTGTGAAAGGAAAATGGCTCCGCATGCCACATTTGTCGAGGGAACCTTTGAACGAATAAAGGCAAAACAGACAAATCAAACTCTTCAGGAAAAGAAAACAAAGTAAATCAAATTATCAATCATTGAAAAAAATAAGGGATAACTTTTCAAATTTCTTATGAAAATCTGTACTTCTACTTCATATTTTTGAATGTCCTTTCAACATATATACTAATGGAGCCAAAAATCTGCACTATCATCAAACTTGTAACTGATTCAAGTCCGTTTTCCTCGTTAGCCCGTTTTTCAAAAATTTTTCCGAACCAATCTCAAGGCTATGAACCGCTGTTCTCTTCGAGCATGCGCTGAAGCAGCCCTTACTTTGATGGTTACACTGGAGATCATTGGCCTAACCATGATCCTTTTAGAAAAGTTCGAACATGAGAAAATGATCACACTACATTACTATATGTAAATGCAACAAATTTAAAGTAAAAATTGATTTGAAAGGGCTGGCCGGTTAATGAGTAACAAATGAAATTTCGAGTTTTAACAACAGTATCTCTACAAAAAATATTCGCCACATTTTATTCAAATTGTCAAATCAGATTACATGCGTTTACAGGATCTCGTGGAGATTTTGTTTTTGGACAAGCATTTTAGAAAGCATTGCTTTTTTTTATTCGCACTCAAAAGGGTAATTTTCCCTGGCAGGTAATCCATACAAAAAAGTAGCCAGTTTAAATTTTGTCTCCGACCAATTTATTTGTTATAATATCTATCTATGCATACATATACACCTGTTTTCAAAAACGTTGGAATTTGAAAAAAACATAGGAAATACATATTCGTTTTCTCATCAAAAAGTGTCTCTTTTTGACGAGAAAACAAAAGTTATATAAATATATTTCATGTATATTTTCAAATCGCAACATTTTTTAAAACGGGTGTGTGTATATATAAATATATATCTATACTGTGGGGATATATATTTCTTTAGCTTTTTAACTGATTAAAATTTTGGTTTCTCGACTGTTAGATAAAAGAGCTCACTACAGCCTTTCGATATTTCCATATTCCGTTTACACAGTAGTCATGATAACTGCATTACAAACCTGCAAGACTTGTAATTTTAAAATTTAAATGTCAAAACAGAATTTTGGATTAATTGGAAACGTGTTGTTCAGAAAAAAAAATGTCAAAGCTGTATTGCTCTGCTAAAATAAAAAAAATGCAGTTTTAAACGAAAATCACGGAAATTAATAGTGACGGTGCAGATCTAGTCAAAAAGGTTTCTGTGGATTGCGTGGAGTTTTGCTATTAAAAGAAAATTTTAATAAAGTTGTTGGTTTAGTACTTATCTTTATCATCATAGGTAAAGACCGCTTCTCCACTTCCTTCTTCCAACCAGCGTTCAATAGTAACCTCGTGCCAGACTCTATTCAACCATTATCCCTTTACGTCCCGGGTGTTTGTTGGATCGATCCCCATAATGGATCCCAGGCCAACGCTTTCAAGGCTTACCGTGACATTAATACTTAATTAATAATCCAGGGGGACTGGACACTAGTATGGAGCTATTCCTCAACTAACTACATTCATTTTAACGATGGTTGCAATGCGATCGCTCCAAGGCCAAATTGGCCGGCCAAGAATGAAGTTAATGTTCCAATCTCCACAATTCCACTGAAAACCATAGGCCTACCCATGATCCTCTCGGAGGAAATAGTCCTAACCAAAAGAAAAATGTTGCACATCCACATGGTAACATTTTCATTCGAGTCGAGTAGGAAAGACAGACTCTAACAAATTTCTACTCAAATAACTTCAAAATTAATTAAATTCTCTTCACAATATCAATACCATATCCACCAGAAAAGTTATTAAAATGAACGAACTTATCAGCAAAAGGGTATCATTTTGATATTTCACTTTGGCTTTCAAATGATTTACTGTACAAGAGCACAGAAGCCAAAAATGAGAAATTTGAATCACATCTTGGAGGCTTGAGTGATGAGATGATGGCTCCATATGTGCTAAGGGAATTTTATGCAAAGTTACTTTTTCTTTTTTACTGCTTTAAAATTTCATCCAATAAATCCCAAGGCTATGGACCGTTACTCTCTTGGAGCATGCGCTGAAGCGGGTCTTGCTATCAATTGGATAGTTGCTCTGGAGATCATTAGCTTACACGTGATGCTAGTGGAGAGTCGAGCTCAACCAAGTGAAAAATGATTGTTCGATCTTGAAAAAATTATCAAACATGTATTAATATATGTAATAAATGTAATAAATAAAAGGAAAAATATCAGGTTGAAAGGACTGGTTAACAAATAACATATTAAATCATCTCTACAAAAGCAGGCCTTACTTTTTCATTTGCACTCAAAAAAGTACTTTTTCTTTGCCAGGTGTTTCAAACAAAAAAGATGTGTTTTCATCTCCAGTTTTAATTTTATCTCCCACCAATTCTTTTTATTTTTAAATTTGCATTTTAAATTATTTTCTTCTTCGCTGAACTGTTTCATAAAAGAGCTTATCGCAACCTTTCCGGTATTTCCATATTCTGTTTACCTAGATATCGTGATAATTGCATTATAAACCTGCAGGACTTTTGTTTTCATTTAAATGTCAAAATAGAGTTGTGGGGTAATTGGAAACTTATCGCTAAGAAAACAAAAGGTCAAAGCTGTATTATTATACTTAAATAGACAAATACAATTCAGACGAAGATCACGGAATCAATAATAAATTTACAATTGGTACTAACGGTGCAAACTTATACACAAAGGTTTGAGCGTGTCGCGCGCTGTTTTTGTTAAAATCAAAGGGTGGGTTAAAATTTCTCTCCCTTTCTGTCTTGTCAGACAATTTTGTCTGAAGGCAGGTAATTTATATGTTCCATACATTTACTAATCATAAGTTTGTCCTAAGATTCTCTCGACAGATGTTTCTGCAAGTCGAGTACCTATTTGCAGTCGTCTTGTTCTCGGCGGCAAAGACAACTGAAGGAGCCGAAAATGGCGTTTTCTTTCAAATCAAAGAAAATACTTTTTTCAGCTACAGAGAAGAAAGCCTCTTTTGGTCTGGAGAAACTGATTCTTTGCTTTCCTGTTCGGTTTTGTGTGCGAGACAAGCTTCGTGCAGAAGTGCAAACTTTCTGGAAAACCCAGGACTTTGTTACCTTCTTGGCGGCGAAATGCAAACAAGTTCAGCAACTGAGCGGCTTTTTCAGCGAGATGGCTCTTTCTATCTAACAAAGGTATTTGGCATTGATGACATGCCATTTTTTTCGGTGACACCATCCGATAATGTACACCTTATCACGAACAAGTTCGTACTAGCAGAAAAAACTAGTACCGTTAAAATAAAAGGACAAATTTTGTTTCGTCTGCTACATCCGCACTAAAAATTTTAAAGCCGTCAAATTCCGTCAGCGGCCGATCTATTCATCAGACCAGCCAGCATAGTTTGCCAAGGGGTTTCACCCCCAATCTGCGCTTGTAAAATGTTTATGATGATTTGCCAAATTAAACAATTGCCAAAATAAACAATTTTTTCGCTAGTGCGGAATGGCCTTAATCCTCTTTCCTAGCTGCAGTACGGAGATTTTTTGACAACGATAAGGATAACTACTATGATCATTTTATAAAACAAGAACACCGCAAACTTTTTGACTTAGCTCATCAGATCTACGTAAGAGACTTGGTCGGACGTTTAAAGTAATTTGCGCTTTAGCAGGAAAAAAGCTGAAACATGAGAGGACATTTGTGGAGGGACGCGAATGAGTTGAGATGAGACCTTATAAGAAAAAGTTAAGACGACAAGACCCACAGAAGCTCGTCTTAGCATCAAGATCATAATTTAAAACTTTATGAAACGTTCAGTTTTAAGCAGAAGCCACCAACAACTGAAATAAGACCACAGTCGCCCGGTGAACCTTCAACAATTTCGTACATATGCGCATGACACAAAGTACGGATACTAACTATAAATGTCTTGTTTAACTCCAATTCAGGTTCACCTTGCTGAAAGAGCTGATTCACCCCGAGGTGAGAGTTACGAATTCAGTATTATTAACGTAAGTAACCCGAGCGCTAATGTAAATTACTACCCATAGCTATTGGATAAATCTTGATGCACCAAGATAAACTTGGATCTTTTATAATTTTCAATTTCTTCATTTCCACCACGTTTTGGTGTCCTCCATGTTCTTCCCTCTTCCATTATCCTTCCTGGCCTATTGCTGCCAATTTTAGTTGTTTTTTTTTGCACTGAATACTTTTTCCTTATTTTCTATTGTCATTAAAATAAAACACAAAAATTGGGACACTTACACAGCTACTTAGAAAGGTTTCGAATGTCCTTGTGGTCGTTCGTTCACCTATTGGATCATTTATTTACGAGGTTAATGTTGAGGAAATGATTGAGTTTGAATCCTAATTGTCTGAGACAGCTCAGCGGAATTTAACAAAAAAAAGAGGAAAGAAAAATCCAAGTTAGAACGCATGTCAGGAAACGTTGGGCCGGTGTTTAAGTCTAGATCCTTTTAAATTGCTCAGTAACATAATATTGGTTCTTGTTTGATGCTCGTAACTGAATTTAGGTCGCCAGCTCTATTTTCCCTTACAAGGCTTTAGCACATACAAAAGATACTTTACTAGACTCACTTTCAATTTTCAACTTTATGGCTATAGAGCAAAACACTTCTCTACCCGCTGGTTCTAACCAGCACTCAGCAGTAACCTCATGCCAGACTCTCCTCAAACAGTCTCCCGCAACGTCCACGGGTGTTTATTGGATCGATCCTGATGGTGGATCCCAGGCCAACGCTTTCAAGGCTTACTGTGACATGGATACGAATGGAGGGGGCTGGACATTAGTATGGAGCTATTCCTTTACTAACTACACTCATTTTAACGATGATTCAAATGCGATCACTCCTAGGCCAAATTGGCCGGTCAAAAATGAAGGGAATGTTCCAATCTCCACAATTTCTCCATTAAATGACACAGACTACAATGCCATGAACTTCTCACTCTGGAAAATACTCGGTAGACAGATCCTCATCAAAAGCGACATAAACAACTGGCTGTTGTGTCATCCGGCAGATGGCAGCCTGGTTGATTGGCAGAAAGGTGACGTCAACTGTACAATCACCAAATACGTGGCTGATCCTAGAGAATCAGCTTCGGCGCCTTCCAAGTTTTCACCATATATCAACTATGGACCAATGTTCCATTCGAGTGGGCGCTGGAACAGCTCCTTTTATTATTTCAATAGTTACACGTGCAAATATTGGCCTACCCATGATCCTTGTGGAAAAAATAGGCCAAACCAAAAGAAAAATGTTCTTGATCCACACGGTAACATTTATATTCGAGCCGAGTAGCAAAGACAGACAATGAGAAATCTTTACGCACGTATCTTCTAGAGTTGGTTAACTTATCTGCACAAAATCATTACATTACCTTGAAAACGTGTAACGAGAATCATCTGGAGGACCTTGAGGGTATTAAACTGATAGAACTCTAAATTCTTCTATCGTAATTACTGAGAAAACCCCATCAGAAGAGAGGATTTTGGATCAGATCTTGGAGGCTGAAGGTCCAAGCTTGGTTCACTCTCGTAAGTTGACAGCAAGCAAGACACCAGTTACGCTCATCATGTGAGGTCGGGGGATTATCTTTCAGAATTTTACTTTCCCATGGAACTTTCGATAATTCAAATCACTTCGCGAAACTTTGACTTGATTAGGTTCCAATTTCTTCTTTGTTGTTGTACAACAAAATTTAAGCTCTCAATGTTTTTAATAATGACTACTTTTACCGCTGATGTTTACAAAACTCGTACCAACCACTAAACCAGATCATGCAATCAGGTAGAGCAATTTTAGAATAAAATGAATAAATAAGATTAACTTAAGGAAGCCTGGATCAATTACCCCATTAAGTAATTGTCGCCACGGTTTTTTTTCATATTTCCATGGAAAAGCCAGGAGTAATGAGTAATGAGTAACGGGTTGAGTAATGAGCATTAATTAATAGTAAAAACATATAACGAAGTTTGAAAATGGTATTCTGCGTGGAAACTTAGTTTGTCTTTTAGGCTAATTACCTTCGAAATGCTAATAAAAACAACTTGTATTCCATGTTAAAAGTGAAAAGGCTGACTCTATATTGACCTGTGCTCGAATGTGTAGGAGAGAAGCTGCTTGTAAAGAAGCAAATTTCTTGGCGAACAAAACCACCCATTCGCTTTTTGACGAAGGACAACAGGCAAGAAAGGTGGAAAGATTTGTAAAACGGGATGGTTCTTTCTATATAGAAAAGGTATTTCTAGAATTTTGTAGATTTTACAGATTAATATAAGTTGTGTTACCATTTCTTTCTTTACTCCGTGCGATTACAAAGGAGTGGAGTGAGAGCCGGATGTTTTGGGTAGTTTTATGCAATGGCAATTTTTTATACAACTTGTTCATGTTTCAATTTAGTTTTCACTGTCCTTTTCATTAAGTAGGAAATAAAATTTTTCTCATGTCCGTGATGTCACACAGCCGCTGTAACCTGATCAATAAAAGATCCTTAAAAGATGGGAGTCGGCATGTTTTATCGAGTCCGTTTTGTAATTATGTTTATTTTACACTTGTATCAATACATTTTCAAGTTTCGGTTGCCTCAAAAAAATACTTCTCTTTTCATGTTGTGCCCGTCTACTCTGAATCAGATCACTTAAAATGACCCTTGGACAATTTTCCAACTATTGACTAAAACATTAGACGAGAGAACGGCAGAAAAGGAAAGGTGATAAAATTGAAGTTTAAAACTGAATATCTTTAAGAAAAAAAAAAAACCCTACCCTCAGCTTTTACAGTCATTAAACAGAAAACTCAAATCTTAAGTTGATGAGGATCAGGTAATCAGGGCAAACATTTTGAAAAAGTGATCAGAGACAAGACTTCTTTTTGTTCGTCTTTTTAATCGAAATGAATGCCTACTTTTTTTCAAATAAATGTACAAATTTAAGTGTAGCTTGCAAACTATGAATATGAGTGAAAGTTTCTTAGTCACGCGAAAGGCTGTCTGTTTTTGGCTCACTTAATAGGTTGCCTTTCAAGGAGTCTAGTCCACAAGGTATGTGATTTTTTTTACAGCAAATTTGTCCTCACACAAAGCTCAGTTCATGGTGGCTCACACTGGATTTCGTCATTTTTAAGTCACCAACTCCTCAAATGAATGATACTGCCACACCTTTTGGCGTGCTCGGTAGAATGTGTTTTCAAAAATTACCTATTCCGTCTCTAAATGTCACATTGAACACAACAGCCATACAAAAACAACCTTTTTTAGGTTTATGTGCCTGTAACTTAAAGCAGAGGTCGATAACCATATTGTTTGATCATAGGAAAGAACACGCCAGCACCCCGTGGATTAACCCAGCATTCAGCAGTCCCATCGTGCAAGACTCTCCTCGACCAATCTCTCCCTCCCTCCACAGGTATTTATTGGATTAATCCTGAAGGTGTGTCTCAGTCCAACGCTTTCAAGGCTTATTGTGACATGGAAGACCAGTGGTGGGGGTTGGACTCTAGTATTGAGTTATTCCTTTACTAATTACAGCCACTTTCGTGATCGTTCAAATGCGATCACTCCAAGAACAAACTGGCCTGTTTGGTTTGATAGGTATATGCATGTTCCTGTCTCGCAACCCCTTCATTAAATGAAACAGACTACAACGCCGTGAACTTCTCACTCTGGAAAAACTCGGCAGACAGATCCTCATCAAGAGCAACATAAACAACTGGCTGGTGTGTGATCCGAGAAATGGCAGCGTGGTAGATTGGCAGGAAGGTGATATCAACTGTTCGATCATCAAACACGTGACTGGCCCAAGTCACGAGTTGGTCCCATCAAGGTTTTCACCGAAATCAAAACAATAGCTATGGGCCGCTGCTTTGCATGACCAAACGCTATAACAGCACTAACTATTATTTTGATGGTCGCAGTGAAAACCATAGGCCTACCCATGATCCTCTCGGAGGAAATAGTCCTAACCAAAAGAAAAATGTTGCAAATCCACATGGTAACATTTTCATTCGAGTCGAGTAGGAAAGAGAGACTCTGACAAATTTCTACTCAAATAACTTCAGAAGTAATTAACTTCTTCTCACAATATCAATACCATATCCACCAGAAAAGTTATTAAAATGAACGAACTTATCAGCAAAAGGGTATCATTTTGATATTTCACTTTGGTCTTTTGACTACTTTACTGTACAAGAGCATAGAAGCCAAAAATGAGATATTTGAATCACATCTTGGAGGCTTGAGTGATGGGATGATGGCCCCACATCTGCTAAGGGAATTTTATGCAAAGTCACTTTTTCTACTTTACTACTTTGAAATTTCATCCAACAAATCCCAAGGCTATGGGCCACCATTCTCTCGGAGCATGCGCTGAATTAGATCTTACTTTTAATTTGATAGTTGCTCTGGAGATTATTGGCTTACACGTGATCCTAGTGGAGGAGTCGAGCCCAAGCAAGTGAAAAATGATTGTTTGATCTTGAAAAAATTATCAAACATGTATTACTTTATATAAAAAATAATAATGATAATGATAATGATATGGAATTTATATAGCGCTCAAACTTTAAACAATATTCTGAAGCGCTTTACATAAGTTAAAGTTCTATACTAATTAAAATTAAAATATTCAAAGGCAATAAACATTAGATCTATCAAAACAAACTAAATAGAAATGTAGTTAAAACTTGTAGCCTACTACTACTTGTAAGAAATAAAAGGAAAAATATAAGTTTGAAAGGACTGGTTAACAAATAACATATTAAATAATTTCTACAAATACAGGCCTTACCTTTCCATTTGCGCTCAAAAAAGCACTTTTTCTTTGCCAGGTGTTTCAAACATAAAAGATGTGTTTTCATGTCCAGTTTTAATTTAATCTCCCACCAACTCTTTTTATTTTCAACTTTGCATTTTAAATTATTTTCTTCTTCACTGAACTGTTTCATAAAAGAGCTGATCGCAACCTTTCCGGTATTTCCATATTCTTTTTACCTAGAAGTCGTGATAATTGCATTATAAACCTGCAGGACTTGTGTTTTCATTTAAATGTCAAAACAGAGTTGTGGGGTAATTGGAAACGTATTGCTAAGAAAACAAAAGGTCAAAGCTGTATTATTATACTTAAATAGAAAAATAGACTTTCAGATGAAGATCACGGAATGAATAAATTTACAATTGGTACTAACGGTGCAAACTTATTCACAAAGGTTTGAGCGTGTCGAGCGGTGTTTTCAATTAAAATCAATGGGTGGGTTAAAAATTTCTCTCCTTTTCTGTCTTGTCAGACTATTTTGTCTATAGGCAAGTAATTTATATGTTCCATACATTTACTAATCATAAGTTTGTCCAAAGATTCTCCACAGATGTTCCTGCAAGTCGAGTACCTGTTTGCAGTCGTCTTGTTCTCGGCGGCAAAGACAACTGAAGGAGCCGAAAATGGCGTTTTCTTTCAAATCAAAGAAAACACTTTTTTCAGCTACAGAGAAGAAAACCTCTTTTGGTCTGGAAAAACTGATTATTTGCTTTCCTGTTCGGTTTTGTGTGCGAGACAAGCTTCGTGCGGAAGTGCAAACTTTCTGGAACACACAGGACTTTGTTACCTTCTTGGCGGCGAAATGCAAACAAGTTCAGCGACTGGGCGACTTTTACAGCGAGATGGCTCTTTCTATCTGACAAAGGTATTTGGCATTGATGACATACCATGTTTTTTGGTGACACCTTCCGATAATGTACACCTTATCACGAACAAGTTTAAGGGCCTTCCGCACAAGTAGACAAAACTAGAATTGCCCGGTTAAAATGAAAGGACAAATTTTTGTTTCGTCTGTTGCATCCGCATTAAAAATATAAAAGCCGTCAAATTCCGTCAACGCCCGATCTATTCATAAGACCAGCCAGCATAGTTTGCTAAGGATTTCACCTCCAATCCGAACTTGTAAAATGTTTATGATGATTGAAAATTTGTCAAAATAAACAACGTTTTTGAAAGCGATAAAGATAACTGCTACGATCATTTCACGAAACAAAAACTCCGCAAACTTTTTGATTAAGCTTATGAGATCTACGTAAGAGACTTGATCGGGCGTTTAAAGTAATTTGCGCTTTAGCAGGAAAAAAGCTGAAACATGAGAGGACATTTGTGGAGGAACGTGAATGAATTGAGATGAGACCTTATAGGAAAGGTTAAGACGACAAGACCCACAGAAGCTTGTCTTAACATCAAGACCATAATTTAAAACTTTATGAAACGTTCAATTATAAGCAGAAGCCACCAACAACTGAAATAAGACCACAGTCGCCCGGTGAGTCTTCAACAATTTCGTACATATGCGCATAACACGAGGTGCGGATACTAACTATAAATGTCTTGTTTAACTCCAATTCAGATCAACCTTCCAGAAAGAACCGATTTACCTCAAGGTGAGAATTATGAATTCAGTATTATTAAGATCAGTAACCCGAGCGCTAATGTAAATTACCAGCCATAGCTATTGGATAAATCTAGATGCATCAAGACAAACTTGAACTTTAATAATTTTCAATTTCTTCATTTCTACCACGTTTTGGTGTCCTCCATGTTCTTCCCCTCTTCCATTATCCTTCCTGGCCTATTGCTACCAATTTTAATTTTTTTTTTTTTTGCACTGAATACTTTTTCCTTAATTTCGATTGTCATTAAAATAAACACAAAAAAATCGGGACAGTTATACAGCTACGTAGAATGGTTTCGAATGTCTTAGTGGTTGTACGTTCACCAATAAAATCATTTATTTACAAGGTTGATAGTGAGGAAATGATTGAGTCTGAATCCTAATTGTCTGAGACAGCTCAACGGAATTGTAAAAAAAAAAAGGAAAGATAAATCCAAGTTAGAACGCATGTCAGGAAACGTTGGGCCGGTGTTTAAGTTTAGATCCTTTTAAATTGCTCAGTAACATAAAATTAGTTCAGTCTTGTTTGATACTCGTAACTGAATTTAGGTCGCCAGCTCTATTTTCCCTTACATGGCTTTAGTACACATAGAGGATACTTCAGTAGACTCACTTTCAATTTTCAATTCTATGACTGTAGAGCAAAACATCTCTCTACCCCCTGGCTCTAACCAGGACTCAGCAGTAACCTCGTGCCAGACTCTCCTCAAACAGTCTCCCGCTACGTCTACGGGTGTTTATTGGATCGATCCTGATGGAGGATCCAAGGCCAACGCTTTCAAGGCTTACTGTGACATGGAAACGAATGGAGGGGGCTGGACATTAGTATGGAGCTATTCCTTTACTAACTACACTCATTTTAACGATGATTCAAATGCGATCACTCCTAGGCCAAATTGGCCGGCCAAAAATGAAGTGAATGTTCCTGTCTCCACAATTTCTCCATTAAATGAAACAGACTACAACGCCATGAACTTCTCACTCTGGAAAAAACTCGGTAGACAGTTCCTCATCAAGAGCAACATAAACAACTGGCTGTTGTGTCAACCGGTAACTGGCAGCCTGGTTGATTGGCAGAAAGGTGACGTCAACTGTACTATCACAAAATACGTGGCTGACCCTGGAGAATCAGCTTCGGCGCCTTCCAAGTTTTCACCAAATATCGACCATGGACCAATGTTCCATTCGAGTGGGCGCTGGGACAGCAACTTTTATTATTTTAATGGTTACACGGGCAAATATTGGCCTACCCATGATCCTTGTGGAAGAAATGGGCCCAACCAAAAGAAAAATGTTCTTGATCCACACGGTAACATTTTTATTCGAGCCGAGTAGCAAAGACAGACAATGACAAACCTTTACACACGTATCTTCTAGAGTTGGTTAACTTATCTGCACAAAATCATTACATTACCTTGAAAACGTGTGACGAGAATCATCTGTAGGACCTTGAGGGCATTAAACTGATAGAACTCTAAATTCTTCTATCGTAATTACTGAGAAAACCCCATCAGAAGGGAGAATTTCGGATCAGATCTTGGAGGCTGAAGGTTCAAGCTTGTTTCACTCTCGTAAGATGACAACAGGCAAAGCACCAGTTACACTCATCATGAGAGATCGGGGGATTATCTTTCAGAATTTTACTTTCCAATGGAATTTTAGAGAATTCAAATCACTTCGCGAAACTTTGACTTGATTAGGTGCTAGTTTCTTCTTTGTTGTTGTACAACAAAATTTAAGCTCTCAGTGTTTTTAATAATGACTACTTTTGCCGCTGATGTTTACAAAACTCGTGCCAACCACTAAACCAGATAGTTGCAATCAGCTAGAGCAATTCTTAGAATAAAATGAGTAAATAAGATTCACCTGAGGAAGCCTGGATCAATTACCCCATTAAATAATTGTCGCCACGGGGTTTTTTTTCTTTTCATATTTCCATGGAAAGGCCAGGAGTAAAGGGGTTGAGTAATGAGCATTAATCAATAGTAAAAACATATAACGGAGTTTGAAAATGGTGTACTGCGTGGAAACTGAGTTTTCCTTTTTATGCTAACTACCTTCGAAATGCTAATAAAAACAACTTTTACTTCATGTTAAGACCATAGTGTTTGCTATTACTTATTCTGCATTTATAAACCGTAATTGATATATTTCAGGAGCTTTCCAAAACCACTTTGAGTTTTTTTGGCAATTGAGTACAGCCACCTGACCAAATAAATTCTCGTTAGATTTCTGGATATCATTGTCGCCGCAGTTTTTTTTTTATTTACATCGAAAGGCCAGGAGTAAAGGGGTTGAGTAATGAGCATTAAGTAATAGTAAAAACATGTAACGGAGTTTCAAAATGGTGTACTGCGTGGAAACTTAGTTTGCCTTTTAGGCTAACTACCTTCGAAATGCTAATAAAAACAACTTGTATTACATGTTAAGACCATAGTGTTTGCTATGACTTATTCTGCATTAATAAACCGTAATTGATATATTTCAGAAGCTTTCCAAAACCACTTTGAGTTTTTTTGGCAATTGAGTACAGCCACCTGATCAAATCAATTCTCGTTAGATTTCAGGATATTATTACAGGTGTTTTTGCCTTTTATGATTGTTTTCTTAGATTCATTCGATAAAAAAAGGCAAATTAAAGCTGATCTTTATTTCAAGGTTTTGAACCACGCGTTCTGAACTTCTGAACACTCAATCTTTTTTCCCAAAAACTCGCACACCCATACTTTCTCCGATCCCCGAGAGAATGATAAGTATTAACAAATAAAACAGAACATAAAATCCTTTTAGGTTGTACTCGAATGCATTACGTTTATTTTTGTTTGACAAACAAAACTCGATAAAATCATGAGGAGTAAAGATCTGCTCCCAATGTTAATTTTCCCATCGATGATGGCTTTAAAATTTGTGAGTAACTTCTCTTCAAAGTTTTGCAATATGTTAAGCAATAATCCAACAGGGTCCTCCTACTTTGACTGTTCTTCCTTATGTTATCATATTTTAATTTCCTTTCTTGCAGATCTTTCCTTGGGACATATTTGCTCTCATATGGGCTTTTTTGGTAACACCTAAGATATCTGCAGAGGAAGATCGGGGCATGTTCTTTCGCATAGAAGAAAACGCTTGTCTCGTCGATGAAAATGCTCTTCAAAGTGAAAACGCTGACTCTTTATTGGCCTGTGCTCAAATGTGTAGGAGAGAGGCTTCTTGTAAAGGAGCAAATTTCCTGGCGAACAAAGGCACCTGTTCGCTTTTTGGCGAAGGACAACAAGCAAAAAAGTTGGAGAGATTTGTAAAACGGGATGGTTCTTTCTATGTGAAAAAGGTATTTCGTAAATTTTGTATACTTTGCCGTTGCCATTTATTTTTTTATTCAGTGCGATCTCAACTGAATGAAACTTTCTTTGAGAGCCAGATATTTTAGGCAATGCTGTGCAGTTGTTGCTTTTCATTTTATCGTTTTATTTCACATGTTTATGTTTCAATTTGGTCTTCATAATCCTTTTTCTAAAGCTCGACTGGAAATTCTATGTTCTAATGTCGGAAATGCTATATAGCCGGAAAACCTAATCAATAAAAGATATTTGTCGCCATGTTATATCGTATCCGTTTCATAAATGTTCGTTTCTCATTCTCATTTATTTACTTTGAAATTTTAGAGAAGAAAATTGCACCTATCGCTTTTATCCGAATGTACCCGATCAGGTAGTCTAAATCAAAAACTAATTTAAATGACCCGTGATATAAAATTCCACAGAAAGCTAAAAGTTTAGAAATTCATTAGCGAAAAAACCCAGTGTAAAAAAGATGACAAAAAATAAACTTCGTTTTGGTTTACTTCACAGGTTGTCTCTCCAGGAATATCTGGCCCACGAGGTATGTAAACATTTTCTGTGTCCACCATGTTTTCCTTGTACTCAAAAGGGCTCCGTGATTAAGACCAATTCTTCGAATAGAAGCAATACTGTTCGAAAGAACTGATTGTCCCACACCTTTTGGAGCACTCCAACGAAAAATGTATGCAAGGAAAATTAGTTGACCCCATTCCAACATAATAGCACCCCTTGACTCAACCCAGCATTTAGTAGTAACCGCGAGCCAGACTCTCTTCAACTAATATCTCACTATAACTTCGGGTGCTTATCGGATTGGTCCTGATCGTGAATTCCGAGCCAACTTATTCAAAGTTCTCTGTTACATGGAAACTGATGGAGGAGGCTGAACCTCAACGGTAAGGAGGTATTCCTTCCCTATATCATTAATTAAACTAATTTTTATGATGGTTCAAATGCATATCACCCCGAAACTGTACAAAAAGGTGACACTAGTCAAATTTTTAAACCCATTCGTACTTGATAAAATTATCGATAAATAGCCCAAATGTTGAACAAGCCAGGGAAAGAATCCTACTTCTGATCATCAAACATGTTGTTATCCTCTTTCCAAAACTTTGTGACCCTATAGGTCAAACCATTCCTTCGCACTCAGGTTCAACTCAACATTCAGTGGGACACTCGTGCCAGACCCTTCTCAGGAAGAATCCTACCTCAAAATCTGGTGTCTATTGGATTGATCCTTTTGGTGGATCTCAGGCCAACGCTTTCAAGGCTTACTGTGATATGGAGACCGATGGAGGAGGCTGGACACTAGTATGGAGCTATTCCTTTACTAATTACGGTCATTTTAACAGTAAATCGAATGCGATCGCTCCGAGGCCAAACTGGCCGGTGAGACCTGAAGTAGATGTTCCTATCTCCACAACTCCTCCATTAAGTGAGACAGACTACAACGCCATTAACTTCTCAATCTGGAAACAAATCGGCAGACAGGTCCTCATCAAGAGCAACGTAAACAACTGGCTGGTGTGTCATCCGGGAAATGGCAGCTTGGTTGATTGGCAGGAAGGTGATATCAACTGTACAATCATCAAACACGTGACTGACCCAACTCACGGGGTGGTCCCTTCTAAGTTTTCACCTGACCAACAAAATCTGTATGGACCGCTGTTCTCTTTGAGTGAGCTCTCGTATGGCTTTTATTACTATTTTGACGGTTACACAGGGAAACACTGGCCTGTCCATGATCCTCTGGGAACAAATAGTCCCAACCAAAAGAAAAATGTTGTTGATCCGCATGGCAACATTTTTATTCGAGCCGAGTAGCAAAGACAATAACAAACTCTTGCACTCAAATACTTCAAGAGGTGATTAAATTCTTAAAACTTGATTGCATTACCCGGAAAATCATTACATTACCTGGCAAAGAAATGACGAATATTAATTAACGTATCAGCTAGATGGTGTTATTCTGATAGAACTCTTAACTCCTCCAACTTGTTTTCAATGAAAAAGCATTGCTACTGGAAAGAAGAATTTCGGATCAGATCTTGGAAGCTGAAGGTTCACGCTTGATTCGCTCTTATGAGATGAGCACGAACGAGATCTAATACTTTGCAGAACACTCTATAGAGAACATGCGCCAATTGGTAACGCACTGAAAAATTGTGTAACGCAAAACAACATGTAGTTTTCTGAAAGACAGTACAGTTAAAACTCTAAACGTTAAAACTGATGTTAATCTGCACAGGATATCCATTACACAATCACTCCATTAAACATGTTTAGAACTACAGTTTGCAATGTAAACCTTAGACTACTCAACAACTGTAGGCTTGATGGGGGAGGGGTAGGGAGCACCTCTACATTTGACCTAAGAGAGTTTGACTCGACAGCTTTAGGCTTGATGGGGGAGGGGTTGGGAGCACCTCTACATTTGACCCAATAGAGTTTTCCTTGCCCAACAGGATTTGGTAATCATTTTGGGCCTCACAAATGGTATGAACCAAAGGGTATGTAGGTTCCTCATCCAGCGTCTTAAGCAGCTAGAACGAGTTGCTGTATCACGAGTCTAAACTGACTTGTTTTCCGTACCAAAAGGCCTACTGACAAAATCGAGAGAACATAGAACAAAAAGGTAAGTAAACATTACTCATCTTCTCACCGGCACACAAAGCGGATTTAAGGAATCAAAGGTTAAAAAGATGCGTGAGAGACATTTTAGTTCGAGCTTGAAAAAGTCATTACATATATATTACTAAATTTAATAAATGCAACATACAAATTTAAAGGAAACATCAGATTGAAAGGACTGCTTACTGAATAGCCGATGATATTTGAATATATTTTAATATAGTAAACGAAATTTCGAGTTTTAAAAGCATTATTTCTGCGAATATACTCGGTAAATTTGACTTAAATCTTCAAAATGTCTATCTCTGGGACGAGGCTGTTCCATCTGTCTTAAATGTTTACGAGGTCTGATGGCGACTCTGTTTTAGCCGGACAGAAATTAAGTTTTTCATTCTTACAGTTTGCACTCACAAAACCAGTTATTCCATGCCAGATATCTAATAGAATAGAACTTTTAATCTAGATTAAATAGTTTTCCTCTTTTTTAGATGAAATAGCACATTGTAGCCTTTTCAGTGATTCCTCTTTCTGTTTGTCTAGACGTTATGACGATTGCATTAAAAACCTGCAGGACTTGCGATTTTCATTTAAATGTCATAATAGAATTGTGGAGTAATTGAAAATGTATTGTTAGAAAACAAAATGTCAAAGCTATATTGCGCTACTCAAACAGAAAAATACACTTTCAGACGAAGATTACAGAATCAGCACATTTACAATTAATACTAACGATGCAGATCTATTCAGGAAGGTTTCTGACAGTCGCGCGGTGTTTTTCATAAACGAAAAGCGTAAGTAAATATTCCTTACCTTCCTGAATTTTTTACCCTTTTCTCAACAAGTAGGCAATTTTTATGTTTCATACGTTTACTAAATAAAAATATTTTTCGTAAGATTCTCTTGACAGATGTTATTTCAAGTCGTGCATGGAATTGCTTTCGTCTTGTTCTTGACAAAGACGACAATTGAAGGATCCGAACATGGCGTTTTCTTCCAAATCAAAGAAAACAGCTTTTTTGTTTTCAGTGAGGAAAGTCTTGTTTGGTCTGGAAAAGCTGACTCTTTGCTTTCCTGCTCTGTTTTGAGTGGGCGGGAAACTTCTTGCAGACGAGCAAACTTTTTAGAAAACCAAAGACTTTGTCACCTTCTTCGCGGCGAAATGCAAACAAGTTCAGCAGCTGGGCATCTTTACCAGCGAGATGGTTCTATATATTTAACAAAGGTATTTGCCACTGATGACAAGTTGCGCGGTGCTTTGCCATTAAAAGAAAAGGGCGAATTAAAATTCCCTTTCTGGATTGTTTTACAATTTTCTCAACAAGAAGGCAATTTATATGTTTCACACGTTTACTAAAGAAAAGAATTTGTCGTGAGATTCTCTCGACATATGTTATTTCAAGTCGAGTACCGATTTGCATTGGTCTTTGTTCTTAGCGGCAAATATTGACAAACAGAAGTATGTTGTAACATCAAGTTTTGTATCCAAAGGTACATAAAATGTTCCCTTGGAGGTGCAGGCCACCGATAAATATGAGCACATTTATTAATCATTATAGTATGCATTGTTTAACTCCAATACAGGTCGAACTCCCAGAAAGAACCAACTCACCCCAAGGTGAAAGCCACAAATTCTTATTGATAAGTCTTGATGCACCGAGATAAACTTGAATCTTTTACATTTTCCTAGTTCACCATCTCTACCCGGTTTTAGTGTCACCCTTTTCCACCTCCTCCATGACCCTTCCTTTCTTATCGTTGCCATTTTTAGGTTTTCTTTCGCACTAAAAAGTTGTGAGCAGTCTTCTAAGTTTCGTTCGCCGTCAAAACACGACACGAAAAGTCGGAACATGTATACAGCTACTTAGAATAGTTTCGAACGACTCTAGGGTCGCTTATTGGTATAGTATCATTGATCAGACAAAGTTCATAGAGAGGAAATGTTTTGAGTCTAATAATTGTCTGATACAGCTCAATGGAAATGTGAAAAAAGTCTGTAAAAGCGTATGCCAGTAAACATAAGGCTGGTCTTCGGGGCCTTGTTGTTGTTCAAAAGGTAGATGATACTATCGGAAACTGTAGACGATCATTTCGTCGTTGTTACGTTTTACTAAGAGACCAGAAACACATGAAAAAGGAAACGGAAACTTGTGACTATGATCTTTCTTTTGTTAGAGAAAAAAGTCATCATATATCTTCAGCTCGTTAATTAAAAAGGTACCGATTTATTATTGGTGCTTTTTTGACAGCACTTTCCCATATATACACTATTCAACGCATAAATGTCAGCAAAAACAAAAAATTGCGCTATCCACCGGATAGAGATTTATCTGGTGGAAATCTATGTCTGCCCTTCGAAGAACCGGAGCCAGGTTTATATCCTTATATATATCCTTAGTCACTTGGTGATCTTCTCCGAGTTTTCACTGCACCAAAAAAATCGGACCACTGTCCTATTTGACTGAGCGCTCGCATAGCTTTTATTACTATTTTGACGGTTACACAGGGAAGCATTGGTCTACCCATGATCCTCTGGGAAGAACATAGCCAAACCAAAAGAAAAGTGGTAACTTTCCACATGGTAACATTTTTATGCGAGCCGAGTGGCAAAGACATAGTAATAAAACCACATGAATATCTTTCAGAGGTGATTGAATTCTTAAAATCATTGCATCCGAGAACTGATGAGCACCTGTTCCCGTTATCCGTATATTTCTTATAGCACATTTACCCAGGGAAGGGCATACAAAACAGTCATAAGGAAAATTCAAGTGAAACAAATTCATATTACTTGATTAGTTTTTCTTGCTAAAACAGCTAGTAAAGACACAGAGAATTCCCAACCCCTGATGATATTTTAATAAATCAACAATACCAAGATGGTACATTCTCTTGAAAACACTGTCAGATTAAATAACTATTTCAATTTGATTAAATTTATTTATGTGAATAAAACGTTGGCTTGTCTTGTCAATAACGTGAACCTTTTCGTTATAGGGGTTGATCGCGATCTTTAAGTCAGGTCACTACAGATTCTCGTTTTATCATGTTCAAATTATTTATTGACGAACTTGAGGTTTTTTCTCGTATCACAAAATTACCACTTGACTCTCCTCCGCGAATATTCTGACAAAACGTTACTATTTAATCAATATACTTGCTACTTGTTCCCTGAGGGAAAATCCTTGTTTTTCGGACTGTATATCTAATTTTTATAAATTTTTGCGATGTTATTGTTTCTACTTTATTAAGTAAAAACGAACGAATAAAAGCAAAAACAAACAAAAGACATCAAGAAAAAAAAAGCAGAACGAAAAGCAAAATAGAAATCATTAAAAATCACAGGGAGGGATCCTTTCACTTTTCTAGCAAATTCTCGGCAGTATTTGGTATCTTTAGCCTTCCCTTTTAGCACGTTTTATAACGGTAGCCAACAATCAGCACCATTATCAAACTTGTAATTGATCCAGTTCTCTTGCTGAATTATGCAAGCCTCACTTTTTCACTACCATTCAGGAAAGTAATTCTTCTTTGCCAGGGTTTTCATACAAAAGGCTGTGTTTTCATGTTCAGTTTTAATTTTGTCTCTTACCAATTTCCTTTTTTTCTTTTTTTTTAACTTTGCATTTCAAATTTTTGATTTCTTCACTGTTACATAAAAGAACTTTTTTCAGCCTTCCGGTATTTCCATATTCTGTTTACCTAGAAGTCATGATAATTGCATTATAAACCTGCAGGACTTGTGCATTTCATTTAAAATGTCAAAATAGAGTTGTGGAGTAATTGGAAACGTGTTGTTAAGAAAACAAAATGTCAAAGCTGTATTACTATATCCAAATAGAAAAATTGACTATCACGCGAAGATCACGGAATCATTAAATTTATAATTTATATTAACGATACAGATCTGTTCACAAAGGTTTCTGTGTGTCGTGCGGTGTTTTTCCATCAACAGAAAAGGGTGGGTTAAAATTTCTGTTGCTTTCTGATCTTTCTGTCTTGTTTGACTATTTTGTCTATAGGCAGGTAATTCATATGTTTTACACGTTTACTAACTATACATTTTGTCTCAAGATTCTCTTGACAGATGTTACTTCAAATCGAGTACCGATTTGCATTCGTCTTGTTCTTAGCGGCAAAGACAGCTGAAGGAGCCGAAAATGGTGTTTTCTTTCAAATCAAAGAAAATAAATTTTTCAGCTTTGGAGAAGAAAGCCTTTTGTGGTCGGGAACGGGTTCTTTGCTTTCCTGTTCTGTTTTGTGTATGAGGCAAGCCTCTTGCAGAAGTGTAAACTTTCTGGAAAACGCCGGACTTTGTTATTTTCTTCGCGACGAAGTGCAAACAAATTCAGCAACTGGGCGGCTTTTAGAGCGGGATGGCTCTTTCTATTTAAAAAAGGTATTTCACGTTGATTTTTTCACATGTTATAGTTTTCGGATGACAACTTGCGTTCATTTTAGCATTGTCACGACCCAGAAAACCGTTGCTCGATCTTTCCCATCAGAGGGAAGACTTTTCACAGCAAAACTGATTACTGTTTCCATCGTTTCAAGAGACAAAAACTCTACCAAATTTAATTTCAGTCAAAAAAAAATTACGAAAAAGACCAGAGCGTTTAATTCATAGCGCGCCGAAGTAATTAAAAATGGAAAGTATTAAAACGCATAAATATTCTTAAAGAGCAGCATAATCAATGGAGATACGCGTTAAAGAAAGTATTTTGGTTTAATCAGCTGAGTTGATAATGTTAATTGGCCGCCTTCAAGAGATTTTAGAGCTGACGTCTCGAGCCATGGCCCTCCTTCAGCTTCAGAAATGTTGGCCAATTTACATTATCAGTTGATAAATCAAATTATCTTGTTATAAACCCCACCGACTTAACACCACCGCTTCTTTCGAAAATTACCCCCTTTAGTTAAAAAATGGAGATGACAAGACCAATTACCAGAAGTTCATTTCATAATAAAGCTTATCATCCAAAGCACATAAATTGTTCAGTTATAAGCTGCAGCCACCAACAACTGAGAGCAGCGATTACTACCCAATGAGCCTTCAAGTGTTGACGCATGCATGCATGAGGTATGGGTATTAACTGATATAAATTGTTTGACTCCAATGCAGGTTTACCTCCCAGGAATAACCACTTCAACCCAAGGTGAGAGCGGAAGATTAGTGTTGATATTGGTAACTAAGAGACATATTTAAACTGTTATATTTAACTCCATTCAGCCTATCGTTAGTATGCATATTCTACAGGCATACTGGTCTCTATACATTTCCTAAGGTACTGACAAATAATTTGTTTATCGATCAAGAGCTTCGTTCGTTGATCATTTCCTTTATTTCGTGATTCTGATTCAGGGGTGATTTTGTAATGAAAATTAGATGCCAGTCATTTATAGGGGTCAAATGATAAATGAACAATTGATAGCAGTTTCTTAGCTGTAAACCCGCAGAAAAACATGACGCAAAAACTCGGAAGTTGGACATTGCATGGTTTTGAAAGACTGTGATCGTGATATCAAAATTGTGATTTCGTAATAAAGTTGGCAAACATCAAAAATTTTAAAACTGAGTAATACTTGCTTGAATTATTGTTGAATGGTCAGATCGATGAGCAGGTGAGGGAATAAGAACTAGCTGATGAATTGGGAACAGAGACAGAACAGAAGACACAGGTCTTCAATACAGAAATCTTTACAAAACCAGTTTTAATCGTTAAAAAAACCTGTCAAAACTTTGTGATCCAATAGGTCAAACCATTCCTTCGCACTCAGGTTCAACCCAGCATTCAGTAGTAGGTCACTCATGCCAGACCCTCCTCAGGAAGAATCCTACTTCAAACTCTGGTGTCTATTGGATTGATCCTTTTGGTGGATCTCAGGCCAACGCTTTCAAGGCTTACTGTGATATGGAGACTGATGGAGGAGGCTGGACACTAGTATGGAGCTATTCCTTTACTAATTACAGTCATTTTAACAATAAATCGAATGCGATCACTCCGAGGCCAAATTGGCCGGTGAGATCTGAAGTAGATGTTCCTATCTCCATCACTCCTCCATTAAATGAAACAGACTACAACGCCATGAACTTCTCACTCTGGAAACAACTCGGCAGACAGGTCCTCATTAAGAGCAACATAAACAACTGGCTGGTGTGTCATCCGGGAAGTGGCAGCTTGGTTGATTGGCAGGAAGGTGATGTCAACTGTACTATCATCAAACACGTGACTGACCCAAGTCACGAGGTGGTCCCCTCTAAGTTTTCACCTGACCAACAAAATCGGTATGGACCGCTGTTCTATGTGAGTGAGCACTCGCGTAGCTTTTATTACTATTTTGACGGTTACACAGGAAAGCATTGGCCTACCCATGATCCTCTGGGAACAAATAAGCCCAACCAAAAGAAAAATGTTCCTGATCCACATGGCAACATTTTTATTCGAGCCGAGTAGCAAAGACATAATAACAAACTCTTGCACACAAATACTTCAAGAGGTCATTAAATTCTTAAAACTTGATTGCATTACCCGGAAAATCATTACATTACCTGGCAAACAAATGACGAAAATCAATCAACGTATCAGCTAGATGGTGTTATTCTGATAGAACTCTTAACTCCTAGCGTTACTTTTTCACTGAAAACAAGTTGGACTGGAAAGAAGAATTTCGGATCAGATTTTAGAAGCTGAAGGTTCACGCTTGATTCGCTCTTATGAGATGAGCACGAGCGAGATCTCCTACTTTGCGGAACACTCTATAGAGAACATGCGCCAATTGGTAACGCAATAAAAAATGTGTAACGCAAAACAACATTTAGTTTTCTGAAAGACAGTACAGTTAACACTCTAAACGTTAAAACTGATGTTAATCTGCACAGGATATCTATTGCACAATGACTTCATTAAACATGTTTAGAACTACAGTTTGCGATGTAAACCTCAGATTACTAAACAGCTGTAGACTTGATGGGGGAGGGGTAAGGAGCACCTCTACATTTGACCTAATAGAGTTTGCCCTAACGACAGCTTTAGGCTTGATGGGGGAGGGGTAGGGAGCACCTCTTCATATGACCTAATAGAGTTTGCCCTGCCTAATAGGATTTGGTAATCATTTCGGGCTTTACAAAGGGTATGAAAAAAAACAAACATTGGTTCCAACCTAACTAAATCTATACCCAGTGTGAATCCTTCTTTTCGTTCTTATCTTGGTGATAATAACCATCCTTCCATTAACTTAAAGCCCACCACAGCTAGTGAACTGGAAAGCATTTGTGGCATGTTCGCTTCAGAGAAGGCTCCTGGCTATGACAGTATCCCAATGCATGTCACTAAGTATTCATTTCACCTTATTTCTGCTCCATTGGCAGATATTATTAATCTATCTCTGCTAAGGGCATTTTCCCGGACAAACTTAAAATCGCCACAATTATTCCCATCTTCAAAGCAGAGTATCCAAACTTTTTTGTAAACTACAGACATATTTCTATGTTGTCTAATTTTTCCAAATTTTTCGAAAAAGTCATATGCATTCGCTCAGTAGAATTTGCTGAAAAAGAAACGATATACTTTACCGCTGTCAGTTTGGATTTCGGAAAAATCACTCAACATCGTACGCACTAATTCATTTGGTAAATAAAATAGCTTCTGCAATCGACCAACACGAAACAACGGTGGGTGTTTTCCTAGATCTTTCCAAAGTATTTGACACTCTCGACCATCAAATCTTGTTTGCCAAATCGGAGCACTATTATATGCGTGACGCGGCTCTGCAGTGGTTTAAAAGCTACTTTTCTTGCCGCCAGCAATTTGCCCAATTCAATCAAGCCTGCTCTCCAGTGCAAACCATCAAGTGTGGTGTGCCTCAAGGTTCGAGTTTAGGCCCTCTATTGTTCATTCTATACATAAATGACCTCCCTAATGCCTCTGAATTAACAGACCCTCTGCTTTTCGCTGATGACACCAGTATCCTTTATTCTCACTCAAACCCAAATTGCATAGAATCCTTACTTTCATTTCTTTCATTTCCATTACTGTCATTGGTCAGCGGTTGGTCAGCCAAGATGGCGGCCCTGTTTCGTCTTCCGACAATTTTGGCCTTATATGCCATATTAATCATGCAAAGAACTTGTTATTCATCACAAATGACGGCGGAAAGGGTTGGAAAAGCTCCAATGACACAACTGACGAGCAGTACGAATTTTCGAGCGGAATTAAACTCGGTTATCTGCCTTCGTCGTGTTGGTCGGTTCGAGTCACATGGCGTGAGGTATCTCGTGGGAAGGATCAAGCGGTATCCAAATTCAACCTCTACATTTCAGATAACTCGTGTGGCAATAAGCGGGGATGTGTCTCTGAACCCCGGGCCCTCGGAAAAGTCTAAGTGTAGTGTGTGTTCAAGAACGCTGGCAAGAAATCATCGGGCTGTACTCTGTGATTGCTGTAAAGGGCTAAGTCACATAAAGTGTGCGAAGGTGACACCCAGCGAGTACAAACGAATTCAGAATTTGCCAATCAAGACTTGGATCTGCTCAGCGTGCATAACTATCTCCACGCATAACCTTTTACCATTTCATGGAATTGGTAACACCACTCTTGAAGATTTATTCGTGAATGAACCAGCTTTCATGGATTATACAGATCTGATTGACTCTCAGGACCGTGATTTTGCAAGTTTTATGGCTGCTCGAGCGAAGTATAGCTCTAATTTCTTGATAGCACATTTGAATATCAACAGCTATCAGAATAAATTTGAAGAGATGAGGGAAATTATACAAAAGTTAAGAATTCAAGTGATGTTCATTGGTGAAACCAAAATTGACTCTTCTTATCCCGATGCACAATTTACTATACCAGGGTACCAGCTTTACAGAAGTGACAGGAAGAAAGGAGGAGGTGGTCTCTTGGCTTATGCGTCATCTAACGTGATCTGCAAACGGTTAAAAGTTCCTGCTAGCTACAAAACTGTCGAATCATTGGTTTTGGACGTTGAACTCAAAGGGAGACGTGTTATTGTGGCTGGCTTGTATCGCCCTCCCAAATCTCTTGTAAACACGTATCAATTTCAACTGGAAGAGGAGATTAATCACTTTTGTAACTGGGCTTCACTGCAGGGACATGCATTTGTGTTATTAGGGGATTTAAACCTTGATAGACTCCGCCCTGATAAGCCTGAAGGCAAGTTGTTGATTGATATAGAGGAGACCCATGGACTTGAGTGTATGATTACAGAGCCAACAAGGATTCAAACAAGGGCTGGTAGGACTACCAAGACCCTCATTGATGTTATCTTGACTAATGAAGCACAGTTATTTGTCCAGAGTGGGATTTATGAACCGGGTCTTAGTGACCACCCACTGGTGTATATTCTCATGCAAGACAAAGCAGCTAAAGTCAAGCCCAGAATTATCAAATTCCGTTCAGTTAAGAACTTTGATGAGGAGAAATTTCAAGAACATCTTAATTCGGCACCTTGGCATGTTGGGGAAGTTTTTGATAGTGTGGAGGATCGGGTTGGTTTTATAAGTACACTACTGACGGAGATTGTCAATGACCATATGCCATTAAAACAAATGCGTGTTAGAGATCAGGATGCGCCATATATGAACTCAGAGTGGAAGGAGGCAATACGGGCAAGACGCAGGGCCGCTAGGCGATACAGGAGGACAAATGCTCCAGAGGATTTGATTAATCTTAAAAAGT